AATAAATGTTTAGTCAAAATATATTTGCTTATCCCCTCCAAAAACTTGATGACGTCAGCTCGAAAATTTGCCGAATAAATCATATCTAAAATGTACAAAATATGATCAGTCTGTACTTGTGATCTATCACTCCATTCATATTTTTTGGATTTGCATATACAGGGTGATTCAAGAAAATAAATGAAAGCGTAAATTTATTTTACTGATTTACTCAGGAACTACAAAACCGAATGCTTCGAAATCTTGAAGATATTTTAAAATTATCATAAGCATGGTAAATTTTTGATCAAAATGTATTTGGTCGTCCCCCCTAAAAAATTTATGACGTCACCACAAAATTTTGCTGAATAAATCCTATCTAAAATGTACAAAATATGGTGAGTCTCTTCTTGTGATTTATCATTCCATTCAAATTTTTTCGATTTGCATATACAGGGTGACTCAAAAAAATTAATGAATGCGTAAATTAATTTTATTGATTTAATCAGGAACTACAAAACCGAATGCTTTGAAATCTTGCAGATGTTTTAAGGTTATAAAGAGCATAATAAATTTTTAGTCAAAATATATTTGGTTATCTTCTACAAAAAACTGATGACGTCAGCTCAAAAGTTTGCCGAATAAATCGTATCTAAAATGTACAAAATATGATGAGTTTGTACTTGTGATTTATCACTCCATTCATATTTTTGGATTTGCATATGCAGGGTGACTCAAAAAAATTAATGAAGGCGTGAATTTATTTTATCGATTTAATCAGGAATTACAAAACCGAATGCTTTGAAATCTTGGGAATATTTTAATGTTATTATAAGCATGGTAAACTTTTGTTCAAAATGTATTTGTTCATCCCTCCTAAAAAAATTGATGACGTCACCCTTAAATTTTGCTGAATAAATCCTATCTAAAATGCAAAAAATATGATGAGTTTGTACTTGTGATTTATCATTCCATTCATATTTTTTAGATTTTCTTAAGAGGTGGTTCAAAAAAATTAATGAAGTCAATTTATTTTATTGATTAAATTAAAGGCAACACTTATTATTAGTATTACACCCCAACCAACCCAATTTGGTAGACACAAAATTTGTTAAAGGAAAAACTCGGTTGAAACATAAGGGTAGCATCGCTTATTTACATCGACTTTAACATTACAGACCTGCATTTGTTTTATGCGATCACTTGGTTCCGCGAATGTGAAATAGACATGTTTATAATCAACCAATTGTGAATTTCACCGTCAAGAATTAAAATAAAACCCAATGTTTTATATAATAAGCGGAAGTCGAAGCAATAAAACCGATGGTCGTTTTGTTTACAGTTTCTCTGTTTGACTTTCACGTATGCTGTTACGCTTGTCATCTTAAATTAAGAATGTTTATACATAAACGATTTTCAGTTGCCGTATACGGGAGTAAATTGTTTCGTTATTTTATTGATTATAAAAAATCAATATTCAAAACGACCCAATTCATTTTCCCGAAAATTTGGGAATACAATAATTTTATTCTTAGTATTATACTACATCTATCCCAACTGATCCTTGCAAAAATGTTGATGACGTCATCGCAATTTTTTTTAAATTCCCACTACAAAAATGTAATGAGAAAAAAACACAATAGCCATGCAGTCGTCAATTTTCCGACAGCGAGGGAAGTACTGTCTAAACTCTTTAGACCAATTTTTTCCACATGTCAGGATGCCTGTATACAATTTCAATGCCATTGAGTACGAAGTTTTTTTAACACTTCGTAAAACATATTTTTTAAACATGGACAGTTGGTGACGTCAAAAGCAGAATATTAAATCACAACTAAAGTGATATTTAAGACTTTACATTTGAAGTAATTACTAAACAACCTTTTGGAATGACGTTACCATTTTTTAATGAGGATAAACATATTAATTTTGAGATTATTATTATTATTATTATTTTCATTTATAAGCTTAGTTTGGAATATGGGTAGTAAACCATTACACAAAAAAAAGTGACTAAAAAAATTGTGTCACCAACCGGCTTCGGCAGTCTCCTTGCTTTGACAAGAATATGTGCACTCAAAACAGAGCGGCGACTAGTTTATAAATAATTAACTTATTAACTGCAACATTTCAAATAAATTTCAGTAAATGAACCGTTGCAATCTCATTACAAATTTAATTGCTTCTTTATGTTGATTTAGGACGAGGGTATTTGTCAAGCTGAAAATTAAAAGTCTAAAGAGTTGAATAACATTTGTCTGATAAAAGCGCTAAAAATGATGATGAATGACTTTCGTCTTCATTGTTGCCAGCCACGTTATGTTTTTAATACAACGCGGTTATAAATGAATGCCCCTTTAACGTGGGCGTCAATTTTTGCCGCCTTGTCGAAACGTGAATTATAGTCAAACGGATCAAAATTTTTATAAATGCATCCTGTACGTGTACTAATAATGCAGATTTTCAAAGGATTTGTACAATGCAGGAACGTGTGGAGACATTATTCGGTAAATTAATTTTTGAATGTTTGAAATCACATGAGATATTGTGAGTCATAGTCTCAGGTACGCCCCACGTCACTCCACTTGTAGAACTAAATATACCCAGATGCATGTTTGTGCACGTAAATTATAGAGCGTCCTTAAATGATGACAGATGAATCGGAAGCTCCTAATCATTTAAAATATGCACATCAGTCGACCTTGCATTTATCACAATTGAATTTTTAACAAAGGTAATAGCAATAGGTCGCTAACCAGCAGAGTGGACAAGTCAACAGTTCCGGTTGACGTCGGACTCTCTGGATGTTACTATAATCACGTCATTCATTCCCTATGCATGCCAAAGTTCTTCGGGACAAGGGAGCACAGTTTGACATTTGTGGTTGCGATGTGACTGTTTCGAAAATAATGCGCACGAGATTAGGCGAAATCACATCTTGGAACAATTAAACTGAATCCAATAAAACTTTATTGTAGCTATTAATTTTTGTTCTATGATTTTGACTTGCTTTGTGGACGCTGCAGCCGATCGGATATTACTTCACGTGATCGACACCAATAATAATTAATAGTAAAAGTAATAGTAATATAAGTATTAAAATGCATTCCGAATCAATATGGCTATACTACAATCAGTAAACAATTTCAAATTTTTGTTTGCACACTAATAAAATTTTACAACCGAAAAATCGTAATAAACTGGCGACGTCAGTCCAGATTTGGCGACAGTTTACTTATGTTTCCAAAGTATGACATTTGGGTAACTGATAGTAGCTTATTGTCCACCTTTATACTATCAAGGCACTCCCACTGCATTCTTCTAAAATTTGTGTAAACTGTAGAACCAAATACACCTGGAAACTGTATGATACTTTTAATCACAAACATGGTGGCAAAAGCAAATATGAGGTCAAACACATAGAGCCGTCTGATGGTTCTAAAGGGTCAGTCCTCGAGTAATTTCAAGATGGTGATCAGACACCGATCGCATTCTTTCACGGCCAACTATCTTTTTTTGTTGTTTTTGTGTCTACCCGAGGTCACTTTTGTTTGCTTTTGTATTCAATTTAATTCTGAACCACCCTTGGGCAAGAAGAGTGTGGTCCTATCCATCTAACTCGTCGCTTAAAAATAAACACTTACACACTATTAAGTGAATAATATTGACGTTCAAATAAGTCTTTAAGTCAGATTGCTAGGATGTCGTATTAATTATTCTTATGATGATTGCTGTTACTATTGCTATTATTGACAACATTATATTATTAAACATTGACACGTAACAAATGTTTTAATTGGTGTTGATAATAACAATCCTTGCTTAGAAGGAGCCTGAACCTTGATTACGTGAAGACATAGGGCTATCCTTAAGGCACTAACTTACCACAATTAATAGATTGACCTTCCAGTTTGATACAGGCTTCAGTATTCAAGGAATCTCATAAGGGGAGTACTGGAGAGGTTTTCCAGCAACCTCTACTTTTTTGTACGATTTCACAGGCTAATTCCCAATCCGACACAATACAAGGTGTGAAGACTTGGAACCAAGTGTGAAGCATTTTGGATCTTAGAAGATGTAGAGGTAGAATACTCTGTCACACTTAATAGACACGGGTTTCAAAATCCAAAAAATCTTATCGTAAACAGAGTACTGGAGAGGTTTTCCACTATCTCCACCATATCACACGGTTTGATAAGCCAGTTCCAACTGAAAACTGGAGTTTCTAAATGGGTGAAAACGGAGGATTCTTCTTCGGCAGTCTGGAAGAAGAATCCTCGGAAAGTCTGGAAGCAAGTCTGAAGCACCTCAGACCCTAGACGACGAAGATCAAGGTTCAACTCTTCGAACTAGACAAACTTGTTCAGAAGGTTTACAGATAACCTTGACCATATAGATCTTGAACCCTAGGGTAAGGTACCACGATTTTTGAGACTCGGTTTGGGTGAAAACGTCCGGCTCAACTTTGAACACTTATTATTTATTATATCTTAGGAGATTTTATCTTATATTAGGGGCTACAGACGTTAGAATACCATATAATGCAGATCGATCATTTGAATTGTTTTCTTGTCAAGCTGTTCAACCTTGAGATGATTAAAGTGCACAGAAATAGTTCTGAAATTTAAAATAAAATAAAGAGTGACAAAACCGCAGACCTCAATATGTGGTCTATGTGAAACCATTATTTACTACTGCAATTGAATGTGATATATCAAACTTCGATTCCTCGTATGATTTAATCTAGAAAATTGTTAAACTGGAATTAAGCTGTTATGTATGATTACTTGATAAAAAAAATTCCGGGTTAAAATCGCGAGTTCTGTTGTCACTAATATATAAATTTGCACTTACGTCGCTGCTAATAGTAATAATTAACCTTCTAGACAGACTTCCTAAGTTAATAAACGTCACTTTGTTTGTTGAAGTTTGCAACACTATTTTATACATTATTTCCACCCACACTGATAACTAGTGACTGAGCTTTACCCCCTCCACTCACCGAGGAATTAAACAAAACATTCGATCATATAATTTATATAAAAAACGTAACTGTACAAAAAATAAATATATTACAGACTAGGGTTGCTTTAAAATAAAGCAATAAGGTATTCGGTCGAATTGACAATAAATAGTGCTATAATACACACAGTTTTTGTGATAGATAATACAAGTGGAACATCGTACACGCCATAGTGATAACATTTCCAATGGCAATGATCATGTGTACCTTCCGGAAGCCTTTATGAACTTTCACATAGTGTGGACACCTCAAAAGATTTCCCGGTACCAGTTTCCCGACCTCCAACCCCACTCCAGCTTGTGTTTCAATTCGGTTCTTCACGGTCATGAGGCTAAGTAGCGACGGTGTTAAGTACAAACGAATCACCAACTCGATCAAAAAGCACAAGGTCATAGCAGCAACCTGTTGAAACAATTAGAGAGTTAGTTGTGTCTACGGTAGAATGGGGCAATTTGTGTTTACCTGGGTAGCAATCTCCGTTGACTTGAGGTGGTAGTTGTGAGCACGAAGGAACACGTAAAGTGTTATTAAACTCAAAATAGCGTTAACGAGGAAGTATTTTGGAAATAGGACTTTCTGTACGTTGCCGAAGGTATGACGGGGTAGGGCGAAGTAGAGTGAAAGGCCGGAAACAAAGGTCATCCACAATTGAGCACCAAAATGGGCACTGAAACACCCCATGTAGATGAGCGACCACAGGGGTGACTGAGTCGACGTCCGTCTTTCCGTGGGTATCAACATCAGGGATACCATGAGGACGGCTATGGTGGTTACCACATGAGCGGGCTGGGTGGTGTGGAACATAATTCTGCAACAAGTTTATAAGAAACATGTTTTTTTAATAAATGGGTGCATCTTACTTGTAGTATATTGATTCCTGGAAGGTCTTAACCCACTGGCTGAAGACCACAAGGGCCACTTTGGTGTAGTAGGTGGAGAGGGCTAAGATGTCTTCTTGGTATGGCACTTTTCCAGTTTCGGTAACTAGTTCCATGTTTTTCGTCACGTTTCCACGAGGGGATTTGAAAGGCCCATCTATCCTATCACTAACTGAAACTTTTCCCACACACATTTTCTTTGGTTTCTGAGCAGTCACTTCAGCACTTTCGTCTGCTTGTTTGTTCTCGCAATGAACTGCCGCCTTGAGGGTAGGTGTTATATAGATAGTCCCCTCCACTTTGATTTGACGCACGTGTCCGAAGCATTTACAATTTGATTTTATCAGTTTGAATTATTATTGATAAAAATCATTATGGAACCACTAAATGCAACATCAGTAACGCCCACATCTCCCTTACCCATAAAATAATTACAAAAAAAAAAAAAGTACCGATTGCTCTCCATCAAACGCGTCAACAAAACTACTAAGTATCACTATACGACAAGTGTGCAAATTTTTTTCAAATTAGTTTTGACCCAGAACGGGCATTTTTTAGTGATTCTTGGAATACCCATCCTTCGGTAGGTTATAAGGTTAACCCGAAGCGCCGGCGTTATTCGTATCAGCGCTATGCATATCTCGGTTTATTACTTTTTCCACAACACATTAACAAACGATATAATGTGATAATTAATAATAATTTCTGACGATTGCATTGACTGCTCGTCGCGAATGAAGTAATCACTCACGTGTAAAGTAGTAATAACCGTATAATAATGTACGCAAATTATACAATACACACGACAGAATATCTATATCACCGTCAATTAACCTACTATAACTATACGTCGAAACGTAATTTGCTGTAAATTTTTTAACCCAACTGAGACACTTAGCTATGTCTCTACGACATTATAGTCATTGTTATTATCATTATTATTATTAAAGTGCCCTTTTTTGCCAAAATCAAGTTTCCATTAAACTGATTAATTCCATGTCAAATCTGAATCAAAATTCGGATTAATCATTTTCTCTGAATATTTGACTGGCCGCAGTTTTTTACCAACGTCTTGTCACGTCGACCAGTGACGCGAATTTGTGAACGGATTAGTAGGAAACAAGAAAAGATTTATCGCGTAGAGATTCACAGTTCACACACCTGTGTAACCGGGATTACCCGAGCCCTGTGTAGAAGATGTACGTGTGTCCACGGGAAAGTGTCCAGTGGTTTATTTTAGGGGCTTTTTAGACCGTCAGTGAAATTTCCAAGAGCAAAGAGGTTATTCACTAGGTTATTTGCATCGGAAGAGATATAAGTAAACTTGAATGGCATAACCGGTTTTGAGCGATATTTTGCATATGCGGAACTAGAATGATTCACTTCGTGTCAAAGGTCTGTCTTTGGGTCCTCTTAGTGCTACCTGCTGAATTTGTACCGTATTTAACAAAGTCAATATGTATTTTGTAGTATAGTTTGTTTGGGGTTCTTGTTTTCACTTCGGTTTTGAAAATCTGGTTCAAATTTAAATATCACTGTCGTCGTCATAGTGATATTTTACACTTGTCAAAATTGTTGTTTTGACGACCATAGTATATATTTTAACTTCAGTGATGAAAAATTTTTGTTATGATCTAACACTATTCGCTTGATTGTTATCCCCCAGATCTCGATCAGATGATAACAGATAACCTTTCCTCTAGTGCGCAACTTTTCAAGATCTCAAATTTTCCTCGTTTTTGTTTTAATTACCCATTTCAGTAGTCACGTTGTAGATTCGTGCAAATCTAATTTTAGATTTCGAGCAAGATCCTATTTTTGACGGTGATTTTAAGCGTTTGATTTTGTGGAATATCCTGCGATTGTCAGGTGGTTCTTCCGCTATAGAATTTTGCATGGTTTGTCGGTAAGTGTTCTCTGAACTTTCCATTGACGTGATTTCCCGTGTGTGTACCTGCACACGATTCACGAATGTGCGAGGAATAACGGCTGAGCTAAATTAAAAAATATTTTAACGAACAATCACTAATGAGTGATAAAGATATGCACCTAAAAACGGTCACGCTTGGAAGGAAGGGAGTTGTCCTCTTCTTATTACAAGCGTTGCACTCAGAGATAATTCCACTCGAAACTTGTCAGGGAAGATAAAAGTTCCATGAGATTTTTGTCAAAATTGCGGTTTATATCGGAAAAATTGATTTGTGGTGTTAGATATGGCAACATGGCACACTACTAAACTAACCACTACAATAATGTTACCTGTCATATTATATATTACTAGGTGTTCCCTAACCTTGACTGACCGTTGACAGTTTTGACAACATAAGTCAGTTTTGTGACATTATCAAGTGAAATTGGCTAATTTTGTCGTTGCTATTCTACCTTGCATAAAAATCAGAATAACAGCCGTATTATCTTTTTAACCCCGATTGCGTGCATCAATTGCGTGGATATAAATTACAAAATTGCTTTCCTCTCCCGCCATTGCACTTCTAGGAATGGCCAATTTTAAATTGGCAGACAAGACTCAGGTCACATCTACCTACTAATTTAAAATACGAATACAATAATTTTTTTACAAAACATACCAAACTCAAAAAAATTTGACGTTTGAAAAAAATCACCTGATCATATTTAGTTAGCTACGCAGTTAAACTTCTTGTAATTATGACAATCTTGACAGGCAAAGTGGTTTATTATTCCTGGTTTTTCGATGATATTATCGGTTAATCATGATAGGTAACCAAGGAGTCACTTAAACTGGTGATGAACTTATTCTCAGAAATATTTGTTTTAAGATCACAATCGTACCTGAAGCACTTCGCAATTAAAAACTAAAACTAAACATTGTATAAAATCAGTAATATTATAATCCATCTGTAACCAAAGGTGACTAATTTTCATTAAGTGGCGAGGTAGTCAAATTCAATTTTAAAAATGATCAAAATATGTGCTAAATTGTAACCTTCGTACTGTCAGTTGACACTTGCAACCAATCAACACCTAAGAAAAGCAAAAAATATACAACCGCAGTGAATTTTTAATAAAAGTTTTCAAAAAAATGTAACACCAAAGAAAAAATTACGTTGCAATGATTTCAGTTTGTTGACATACTTGATTATTTTTTATCTTGTCTGTGGTCATTTGTAGTGAGCTGTGATATTGCAACAGATATAGCTTGAGATCAACAAGAGTATCTAGTTGGCGCTGGATTTTAAACTATTTTAGTATTTCCATTGACAAATGAATAGATCGTCTATCGCCAACTTCAAGACGTTTTTGGTTAAATGCACCTCATTTTTACCGGTTTTAAATCTTTGGTGGTTCTTTGGAAGTTAAAAATTAAATTAACTATCGAAGTATTGTCATATGAAATTTAATCGGAAGCGTTTTGGAAAAGAAAAGTTCGGGAAAGGAATAGTTGCCAACACAATAAATTATTTGTTGTCATGTGACAAGCACGTGGTGTCAAAAATGTAGTGCAAATAACATTAGTGACATTATCTAAAATTTGTTTTGTAGATAATTATCTACTGTGGCACGCTGACAGGGTGGGATCAACAAAAAGTGACTTCTGGTTGGCGTTGCACGACCAAGGTATTTTTTTCATGCAACAAGGGATGAAAAACAAAACTGGTCATCCGGTGCCAACTAGAGGACGAGCTATGTTCAACCTTACGAAAATAAAAGAAGTATTTGTGAAAAACACTTACGGGCATTTTTACATATCAATCTTGGATTTTATCATCTTTAATACCTCCAGTATTAGAGGAGATATAATGAAATCCGTAGTACTATTTTAAGGTTTAGTAATCCTGGATACTTAAACTATTGTAAGTTATTAACTTTTACTTGCGACAATCTGCACGTGAAGACTAGATTACTTTGTCCCTCTACAAATAGTGTTCCTAATTTGGTGTTTTCTGAAAGTACTATATCTTCTAATATATGATTTTGTCAAATTATGGATAACTTATTTAAAAGGATCTTAACTGTTTGTTTTTCTGTTCTTTCTTCTGATAAACTATTGAGATGTTTAGTTAGATCTCCCAGTATATATCAATACATATTTGATCAGGACATGGTTGGAAAAGTGTATTTTCAAGCTTGTTGTGCCTCAAGGCAGCCTTTTATCTCCACTAATGTTTCTTTTATTTCTTAATGATTTGTCTCTCTCTTTAATTAAGTCTAATGACTGAAACTTGTGCTCTAATAACAACAATACCCTTTTTCTTAGTTTTGTATTATTCTTTCAAAGGTAGCAATCAACCTGATAGATCTTCCTGGAATTCGTTCCATATTTTGCAACAGTGATGAGTTACTAGGTCAAATCAACACTTAACCATATTCTAACAAACAATTTATGTTTTTCTTACAAACTGAAAGGAATGCAAAGACGTTAAACATTTTATGTAAACATTTAGATTTGTTAGGTTAGAAATTCGACTAATAATTTGCCATAAAATTTGATTATTGCAGTGCCGAAAGAGGTCATTGCTTGCAAGAAACGTCCGAGAAACGCGATGTGACCTGATCTTTTGTGTCTCAGAGTTGTTACAAACCCGTTACTAACGAAATTTGTTAAACTTTATTAATTATGTTATGAAACGTAAAATTATGGTCGTTTTGTAAACCCAGAAGCATGACGAACAAGTTTCAAGTTAGAACTTCATGTCAAATTGCTTGCGATTTGCTTTGATAAGATGTCATGAAATGTTTTAAGGTATAAATTTGAAAGTGTTACAATATGAAAATATGGTGCAATATTCAAACGCAAGGAATTTGTTATATATATAGTGTCATGGCAAAGTGCCGCCTTGTCGAAATATAAATTATAATCAAACTGTCAAATTAGCGTTCATGATAAATGGTTGAAGATACATTTTAATGGGTTAATATATACCGGAGTTTCCGACCGGGGACAAATTTATGTATACGCGTAAAAGTAAACTTCACGGGGATTCTCACTGTCTGTTGGTGGTAAATTTTAATTTTCCGAAAACGTAAAAACCAGAAGCGTCAAATAAATTGCATAATATAATATTTGCTAGAATTTTTTCTGCACTATTGGCGTCAATGGCAGATAATTAATTTTTTCCGGAATTTAAGTCATCAGACTTGATTACTAACCAAATATTGGTAATAACTTAGCAAAAAAGTTTATTAACCTGGCAATTTTAACAATCACCGTGATAATGTGTCCAGATTATCTGGTATATAGATAAATCCATTTACAGTCATGCGGTGGTTGTAAGTCATGAGAA